ACTCAGCAACAACCCTTAAAGAGGGAGACAGGCTAGGGTTTAGGGTTTAGGGTTTAGGGTTTAGGGTTTGCAGTGGTTTCAGTATATCATATGCCTTGGCTTGTGCTGCATTATAGTTCTTTTCTTTGCTGCTGCTGCCGCTGCTGCTGTTGCTGCTGCTGCTGCTGCTGTTGCTGCTGCTGCTGCTGCTGCTGCTGCTGCTGCAGGTTAGCCGGTAGTGGTGCAGTGCTGCAGCAGGTGTTCTGGCAGCTGCTGCTGCCGCTGCTGCGGCCTGATGCTTTTGCGGTGTATGGGCTGCAGCAGCAGAACGGGTTGCTGCTGTGGGGGCCCCCAGGCACAGGCAAAACATATCTGATGAAGGCTGTTGCTGAGGAGATGTTGCTGCTGCAGCAGCGGCTGCAGCAGCAGCAGCAGCAGCAGCAGCAGCTTGGTGCTAGTCAGGGCAGCAGCAGCAAGGCCGCAGCAGCAGCAGCAGCAGCAGCTGCTGCTGCTGCTGCTGCAGAGGGGATAGACAGCAGCAAACTAGACGGAAATGCTGCTGCTGCATACTCCGAGCTGCTGTTCTCCATCGTTTCAGGCAACTGGCTGCAGCAGCAGCACCAACCCCAACAGCAGCAGCAGCAGCAGCAGGAGCAGCAGCAGCAGCAGCAGCAGCAGGAGAGGGTTGTGGTGGTGCTGCCTGAGGTGCGGCTAGTGCATGCAACAACGCTGGTGGGGTCAGCCCCGGGAGAGACAGAAGAAAACATTCATCGCCTGTTCGATGAGTGCAGCAGCAGAAGCAGAGAGCGTCTGCAGCAAGCAGCAGCAGCAGCAGCAGCAGCAGCAGCAGCAGCAGCAGCAGCAGCAGAAAAGGTGAGGGTTGTGGGGGGCCGCACGCTGCTCTTCATCGATGAGATAGACGCCATCTGCCCCCACCGGCTAGCAGCAACTGAAGTACGTTTTTGCTGCTGGTTTCCTGCTGCTGCTGCTGCTGCTGCTGCTGCTGCTGCTGCTGCTGCTGCTGCTTGCTGCAGGCGTTCTGTGCTGCTGCTGCTGCTGCTGTTTTTGTGTTTCCTCGTTGTTTGCTGCTGACTGTCTCCTTTTCTGTCTCTGTATGTGTCTGGCTTCTGCTGCTGCTGCTTCTTTTGTTGTTGCTGCTGCTGCTGTTGCTGCTTCTATGCTCCTGCTGTTACTGCTGCTGCTGCTGTTGCTACTGCCGATGCTACTGCTGTTGCTGCTGCTGCTGCTGCTGCTGCTGCTGCACTTGATGCTGCGGTTCTTCACGCTGCTGCTATTGCTGCA